CTCCTCACCCACAAACCTAGCTCTCTGGCACCACCCAGTGGTAGGAACCAGCAGTTGTGCCTTTTGCTCCTGGCACCCTCTCTGCCAACCCAGCAGAGTCGCCTTGGCTTTCCCAGGGTTGAGAGAGTAGCTGTTTCCTAGGGGATTTGCTTACCCAAGGAGGGGTGGAGCTAGACCGGGACGGGGTGGGGGCAGGAGAGGAAAGCTGGGGATGTGGCGGTGCACCCTGCTTCATGGGGAGGAGAGGTCCAAGGAAGTTTTATTGGGGCGGCAGGCGTGGGTGGTCCTGGTTCCCTAGCAGCAGGAGAGCGCTCTTGGGGATAGGGCCTCACAGTGCTATCCTGACCCTCACACTCTCTTCCTTCTGCCTTTCATAGGAGCCCCGGTGGCGTGGCGGTGACCCACTGGGCTGCTAACTGAAAAGTCAGTGGTTCGAAACCACTAGTTGCCCCGTGAGAGACAGGGGAGGCTCTCTACTCTCATAAAGAGTTACTCTCGGAAACCGCAGGGGCAGGTTCCACCCTGCGCTATGGGGTGGCGGTGAGTTGGCTCATCGATGACCTACCAACCCACCCAATTTCTCCTCAAGTCAAAGATGGATCATGCGTCAGAGGAGAGAGAGTGCCTGGCGGCCAGGTTCCTGCCCCGTGTTCCAGGGCCCTTCTGCAGCCCCTGAGAAACCTTCTAGAGTGTCCAGACTGAGGGTGGCACTGCCCAGCATGACACGAGCCACTGTCCACACAGTTCTGGGGGTCAGGAGCAGGTGGGGTTGTCTCGACAGAACCAACATTCACAGAAACAGGGCTCGGACACAGGCGCGGAGTTCAGGATTCTGCTCCTCTTCGCCTGGGGCAGAAAAATGTCCAGACCCCATTTCCCCAAGTCCCCCCAGGAACAGCCGTGGGGTCTGAATGGATCGGGACCAGGCACTAACTGCCGGCCTCCCATAACCCAGTGGCTGTCTGCACAGAAACCACAGTCTGGGCCTGACAACCATCCAGCCTTCCCCTCCTCCGCAGTGAAGATTTGAAAAGACAGCCAGGTACAAATGCAGCTCTCCCACGCAGGGACGTGTTCTGCCTGGTTCCAACACCACGGGGGCAGAGCTGAGGAGAAGGGGGACACCTGATTCTGCCAACAGTGTGTGAAGTTAAACCACAGCAAAGTGACATGGGATTGAGGACGGATTTTCAGAGAGCAGGTAACAGCAGACAGTGGGCGGGGGGAGGCGGGGTCAGCCTGGAACTGAACTCTGGCCGTGAGCACAGAGGGGAAGGGCGCAGTGAGAGACGGTGGTACAGCGGTCTGTCCAGGGGAGGAGAGGAAGGCAGTCACCGTAGATGCAGTGTTGGTCCCACAGAAAGAGCACAGGTGGCAGGTGTCTCGAACAAGCACACCTGCGTTTCCTCACTGTTTAGAAGCCAAGGACACTGAATTCAGGATGCTGACTTTGGGGGAAGGTTTTCTTTCGGGGCCATCTCTGGAGCAAGGCCCTGGTTTCGTCGAGCTGCTCCTGGGCCACCTGTGTGTGGCGCGGCGTCTCTCTTCAAACACGCTCTCAAAAGATCGCTCCCAGACACACCTGGCTGGCACCACTCCTGCCTCGCAGACACAGCAGAGACAAAAACTCCAACCAAACTCACTGCCACGCAGC